GAGACTTCTTCCTCACTGATTTCTAGTGGGTAGTGTGACGTGTCTCTCTGTCTCCATTTCTCTCTCTGTGTGTCTTCCTGAGGCTTTTAATTTTTTAATTGTTATTTTTAAGGTAAAGCATTCTCTGGGCTATCAAGCCCCTTTATTGTGTTAACAGGTGCCTCTCCCCTTCTCTTCCCAAACCCAGGCCCACCTCCACATGGATCCTGAACTTCAGCTGTCAAATAGTGCTTTCACACAGGATGCGGTTTTCAATTTTTGCATTTTCTTTTTTTTTTTTTGGAGAGATTTTTGCTGTAGGGTGCATGCGCTCGCCAGGAAGAGAGAGAGACAGAGAGACAGAAAGCAAGAAATCACCCCCTGGGGGGATGGCCACGCTGCAATCCCTTCTCCTCCATTCTTCTCTCGGGATCTTGGGCACACACACACACACGCCCGGCATGAGTTTAAGCTGCTGGGTCCGGGACTCGAACCACAGTCGACTACGTGGGAGTCCAGCGACATAGCCATTATGCTAACTGCTGGTCCCAATTTTTGCATTTTAATATTAAAATCTATAGTTTTTTATTATGCGTTTTTTCTTATTATTTTTTCTTTTTTCCTTTTTTCTAATTCTTTTCTTTTTTCTTTTTTTTTTAATTTACTCATTGGCTTCTAATCCTCTACTCACTAAGTGTCTAGACAGGTCCAAGTGAACAGGATCTAAACAAATGAGGGACAGAACATGCCTCTATTCCTACTGAATCTGCTACACAAGAGTGAGAACGGAATGGACGAGTGATTGCAGATCACCTCCCCCTGCACGCCTCTGAACACTCAGACTGATCTTCAAGAATTAGAAAAAACGCACCATCCATCAGATGACTAGACATCACAGGGTCACAAGAAATATGGAAAAACCAGAAAACACCTCTCCTCCAAGGAAAAATAACTCCTCTTCATCCTCAGACAGTATGATGAAATTCATGGAAATGTCTGATAAAGAATTGAGAATTTTCATGGTGACAAAACTCACAGAGATTGAAGAGAAGAGAGACAATGAACCGCCGAAAAGACAGGGGAAAGGAGCTGATGAGTTTCAGGAGGTGAGGAAATTCTTGCAAGATCTAAATGAGGAATTACACACTTTAAAAAAGAATCAAATGGACCTGTTAGAGATGAAGACTAAAATACAGGAAGTCAAAACCTCCCTTGAAATTAATAAAAGCAGACTAGATCATACTGAATATAGAATCACTGGCCTAGAAAAATCCACCACGAAGACTGAGAAAATTGTCCAAAAACATGAGAATACTTTACGAGAAATACCAGATACCATCAAATGTCCAAACATCCAGATAATTGTTATCCCAGAAGGGGAAGAGACCCATAAGGGCATTGACAATCTATTCCATGAAATCCTGGAAGAAAACTTTCCAAACCTAGAGAAGTATTCGAAGATCCAGTCCCAAGAAATACAAAGGACCCCCCAATAGAATCAACCCAAGAAGATCTTCTCCAAGACACATTATAGCCAGATTGAGCAAAACCACAGACAAAGACAAGATACTAAGATTGGCAAGAGAGAAACGACAAGTTACCTACAAAGGCTATCCCATCAAGCTAACAGCGGATCTCTCATCGAAAATGCGAGTGAGGAAAGAATGGGAAAATAAATTCAAAGTGTTAAGGGAAAAGCAATTTCAACCAATAATACTATACCCAGCAAGATTATCCTTCAGATGGGAAGAAAAGAGCAGGCAGCAAGACAGCGGCACCTTGTCCTTGACATTTTCTTGGCTTGGAAGAGAACTACAAGACATAGGGCGTACAGGGGCTCAGCCCGAAAGAGATCTGACAAACACGAGAGTTTTCGGGTGTTCAGAACGAATCAAGATGTGAGCGACCCATGCTTCCGGGCAGTCCTGCGCGTATCATGGATGGGATCCCTCTGAAAACGCTGAAATAGAGTGACCGTGACACAGAGTCGGGGGGCCAAACCTCATTCTCATCCCAGCTGGTAACTGAGTGCAGCTGCTCGGGGGGTGGGGGCTGTGTACCGGTAACTGCACCCTCAGCACCCCATGACATAGTTTTCTTGCATCTCTGTCTTAATGTCTGTGATTTATAAGGAATGTGTGTGGTGTGAATGTAGTTAAATTTGTTCAAAGTACAGTACTGATTATGCACGGAGTGACCCCACAGCACCAGTGGGTCTCTAGTATGTGTATGTTAGAAGCCTGAAGTGTGAGATAAAACCCAGTATCAAGTATTTTGAGCAGTAATTTGCAGGAAAGGACTATAAGGAAAATACAGGACAGTTTGGCTAGAGCATAGTAATTGGGACAGATAATTAGACTTTCTTGGTTTTCAAAAAATCTGAATTGCAATAAAAGGAAATTTTTATATTTTGCAAGTAAATAAAGGTAGGTGGGATGGATAGAAATGTTTGGATGGATGGATGGAGGGAAGGATAGATGGATGGATGGATGGATAGATGTTTGGACAGATGTGATAGATG